TGGGGGGATAGGGGTTGGATTTTGTGATATCTGAAGCTGGGAAATATGGGATTAAGCTGATTTTGAGCCTGGTGAATAACTATGAGGATTCTGGTGGAAAAAGACAGTATGTGAACTGGGCAAGAAATCAGGGGCATAACATAGTTTCTGATGATGAGTTCTTTACAAACACAGTTGTAAAGGGATACTATAAGAACCACATTAAGGTAAATATTGTATAGAAATGAAAATGTAACAAGGAACTAAACCTCAATGATCTGTTTTGGCAATTTTGAAATTTTCAAGTTCCTTCTGTAAACACCTCCTACAAAATCATGGGCTATTGTGTAATTACCCCTTTGATGTAATCAAATGTGTAAATTGAAATGAAGCAAAGAACTCACAAATGTCTTTACCAATTACCTTAATAGGCATTTCATAACTTCACAATTTTTTTTATAACTTTTTAAGTACAAAAGTTCTTGATTTCAGACTGTTCTTACAAGGCAAAACAACATAACTGGAATTGCTTACAAAGATGACCCAACAATTATGGCTTGGGAGCTTATGAATGAGCCAAGATGCCCCACAGATACATCAGCAACTATAATTCAGGNGACCCTCAACATCTTTTAGAGGCAGGACTTGAAGGTTTCTACAGAAAACCAGAAGATCAAGAGAATTTAAATTTCAAAATCGGAACAGATTTCATAACGAACAATCAAATTCCGGACATAGATTTCGCCACCCTTCACTCGTACCCTGACCAATGGTAATAATACTTAACCGTGTCTTAATCTTATGCAAGAAACATCTCATTTTCTCTAAACTAAAAAAAAAAAGATGAAAAAAAAAATGAAGGCGTCTGAAAAAGTTCGGTAAAAATACATCAAAATAAACAGGTTAAATGGCCAAACTGACGAAAACCAGCTCTCATTTCTCAAAGATTGGCTCGATAAACATATTCAAGACACACAGACCATTCTCCAGAAGCCACTCCTTATTGCCGAATTCGGAAAGTCGTCAAAGGACAAAGAGTATACCACCAAAAAGAGAGACGAGCTTTTTAGCACGGTTTACACATCGATTTATTCTTCTGCCAGCGATGGAGGTGTGGCTTCAGGTGCCCTTTTTTGGCAGCTTTTAACCGAAAATATGGACAGCTTTCGGGATGGCTACGAGATTGTGTTCACTGAAAGCCCTTCAACAGTCGAGTTGATTGCAGAACAATGTCAGAAGCTTAATGAAATTCGAAAATTGCATGATAATCCGAAATTTTTATGAGTCTTGATTTTTTTTTTTTTATTTCATGCATTTATTTACACAAGACAGTAATTGGCTTGACCTGAGTTTTTTTTCATATGATAGTTCCATCTTTAATGGTGGAGTTCTTCATTATGACTGTAATCCCAGATCGAATGTAAAATCCCTCTTCAGCTCTGTCAGCTTCCTCGACACACTGGTACAAAAAAAATTCACGGCAAATCAAGAAAACGTTTTATTGGTAAAAAATGATTGGATTAAAATAAATTATTTATTATTGCAAGTGTGGTGATTGGTGAAGAGAGTGAGTGAGAAGGGAACTTACATCTTTGTTTGCGATGATCACATCTTTTCCGATCTTTGCATTCTTGTCTATTATACAATTACTTCAAAGGCAAAATACAGAGAGAAAATCAGAGTAATGTAATGTAACATTATCAGCAGACACTAAATAGAAAAGAAAAAAAATGAAGTTATCTTCTCTGAGTTAATTACAGCATCAAATTAAATTTGTATCGGAAAAAAGTAATCTTTCGAACCATGGAATGAGAAAAAGTTTATTTATATAAAAAAAAATATAATAATAATTCTCTCTTTTTGCCTGTTTAAAGGTAAAGCAAAGGAAATTACATCTACAAATTCATTAAGAATTCACCGGGACACACGAACAACCCAGAAATAATAAATTTTAAACGATAATTTAAAAACGAAACAAGATTTAATCTTAGTACTACCTGATTTTGGTATTTTGACCAACACCAATGGGAACTTTTCCTTCTGCCAAAGCAGATGCAATTTCAGATTCTGTTTGATAATTGTCAGCACCCATCATCAGGGTATCCTGAAAGACAAATTATTTCTTCTTTCAGTAGAGTCGTATATTAGCTGTTAGCTTATCAAAAGGAAAAATAGCTGCCCCAATATTACTCCCTTAGGTGAGTTCCATTAACATAAATCTCCCGAAATAAATATAAGAATCTTTTTCAGTTGAACAAAGTACAAGTAAAACTAATTTTATATAATTTTATTAAAGTAATTACCTTAAGCTCCACACCATAGTCCAATCGTGATCTTACACCTACAATAGAGTGCTCGACACTACATTCTCGCAAGAAGCAACCATGTGAAATTATTGCATTCACTATCTGAAAAAAGACACACACAAAACAAACACAAATTTCATAGCATACGTTAGAACAAAACCACCACA